AGGAAACTTTTCCCCCCCCCCCCCTTACTCTGTGCCAAAAGATGGTGCTGGAGAGTAATGGCTACTGAATAGAGGCTCAAAGTCTGTTTCCTATTCAGGGCCACTGAATAACTGGTTTGCAACACATGTATCTTAGACTAGGCAGGGCTGAAAGGGCAAAGCACCTCACAGGATTTTCACCTAGCTTACAGGAGCAGAGATATTTCTTCTGTATGTCTAGATCACTGTAGATGAGTGCTTTGGCTCTTGATTCTAGTTGTGGTCTTAGTTGTACAAACTAAACTTTACACAGCTATGTTAGAAGTTTCTATAAGCAGCTCCTGAAAGTATGCTGCAGTGCTTCTAGAAGCTTGCAAGCCTCCTGAACTGCCATGTGTCTCAGTGCTGAGTCCATAGGACAAGTGGACAATAGGCTATTCTGCTAGACTGTCTCTAAATTCTGATCAAATAACAGAGCCATACTCCTGCTGCTTGCTGAGTAGAGACTGCCCTATGCCTGAGCTCTACAAAGCAATTGTAAGACAGGCCAGTATTGATCATGCATGAAAACACTAGCTTTTTGCTGCTCTTACAATATTCCAAGCTCAATTTTTTCGGTCATGGCTGCTAGGGCTTGAGATAGCTTCCTGTGTGGCAAAATTGGGATGAGCGGTCTGATAACTTCTTGTACCAGAAACATGGGTGGCACAAAAATACATTGCCGCTCTGGAAGACAGCAATATGTATTATTTACTCCTGATATGTGCTTCTTGGTCTTCCCTCAAATAGATACCGATTCCAGAGTATCAGTCTCATGTGATGAGATGGAAGAAGCTTTAAAACTTCAAGGATAGGGTCTAAACCATGAGGTCCTAAACGTGTTTACTGCTCAGGACTCCTGCAAAACTCAACCCACAGCAGAGTGAGTCATCTACTTCCCATACTTGTCTGGATTGCTCAGTCTTTAAGGGATGAGCTTATGTCAACAATCCTTCCTCATTTGCAAGTATTCAATCAGTGTATATTATATTTTTTCCTTTAAGTTTCCATCAAACTGAAGTTTAGGGGGGTTATTTCTGACATTGATCTGTACGTTCAGAAAAAAGTTCACCTTAAGCAGACAATCAACAGTCTGGTCAGTGTCTTGTTCTCCTGACAGGCTTTTCGAGGCACTCTATAGTAGTAGCAAACCAGATTATTTATTGGCTGCTAAACCATGCAACAACTTGAATTAAAACCAACTGTTTCCTTAATAGCACTTCTGAGCTGAATGAGTTCTTGGAGCGCCTGTAGATCACAAGCATGCTCATCCCATGTTAGGACCAAAGGTTAGTAAAATAGAATTCTACCTTTCCTGCTAAATACCCCAAAAAGTAGTAAGTTGCAACTAATTATTTTGAACCAGCTGAAAGACGAGGAATACCAAACCTATAAAATGTGTTAAATCTTGCTGTATCTCTGGAACTATGCACTGGAATGTGAGCTGAAGTTGTTCTTTGTTTAAGATTGTTTTCTGATTTTTATTATTTGGTCCCCAGTTAATTCAGCAGCTGGAATTTATTTACTCTGCCAGTCTGAATGGTTAAATAGCTGTTACAGGTATCTTTCATGATGTGGTGTTCTTTGGTATTAACTGTCACTTCCTGATAATATCCTACCTCATTTTTTTATTTTTTCTTATTACCATTTATACACTCCATTTAGTTCTCTTCATTTTAATTAAAGTAAGTTCTTGGTGTTCATTATCATCAATAGTGTTAAGTGGCTTTCTGTTGCTGAACCACACTGAGGTCCTCGTCCTCTTTTTTGTTTGTTTTTTCCTCTGACAAATGATTCTAGGAATTCTGAGAACAATAACATATCCTTTGCAGAGGATGAGGTGTATGGAAAAGTTTCAAATATTATCGATTCAACAGCTGTGACATGTTTCCTTTCCTTACCTTTTTTTCCGCTTTGGAAAGGGACGTGCATGGTTTGAATTCTTTGGATTTTTTTTAGTCCTCCTTCAGAGGAGGACTAACTTTTTTCTCATTAATAGCTGTGCCTTCTCTAGAGATATGTTAATGTAACTTCTCCACAGAGGCACTTGCTCCTTCAAGTGTATTTGTAATAGTCTCTGCCTGAAGCCAGCTGTTCCCTCTGATTCTTTTTCTTTCAACCATAGAGAGATTTCTTAACTTGTGGCGTGACTTCTCACTGACAAACAATATTGTCATACCATAAACGAAATGTTGCCTAAGGTAAGGCTGTGTGAATGCTAACTAGTAAAACTATTGCTTAAACTTCACCTTGATTTTTATTTTTTTCTCGTTGCGTTTTAAAATTATTTTTTCCCTACTGTTTGGCCATAAAATGGATCCTGTTGTTTTACTAAGCATGTGCCAAAACAGAGTGAGTTTTCTGTCCTACCTGCATTCTAACAGTGCATGAAGCAGAACTGGAACTGGACAAGAGTATTGTTTGACTTGGACCTTTCTCCCTCCATCCCTCCAGCTGCAGTGGTAGGTTAATATTAAACTGCATTGGTAGTATGAAATCCTTCACAAACCTCATCTCTGAAATCCCTTTTCAAAAGCAGCTGGACTTGAATTGCTGGACCCCAATAGCAAAGGTAAACTTTGTGTGAATTCACACAAAGAAAGGCTCGATTTAGGATTTCTGGAATTACCCTTCCTCCCTCTTGGTCTCCTTTAAAGGAAGTTTATGGAACAATGGGAGAAATTTTTCTAGAGGAGACTTAATGAGAAGGGGGCTAATGAGCCTGAGTCATCTTTTACAGCTGACAAATGTGCCCATTTAAGTAAGACACTACTCATGGCTTAAACATTGTTCACTCCCATTTTGTAAATGTACAGGCAGGGTTGTGGTTTGGCATCTGAGACCTGCAACTTGATGTAACACTTCCGAATCATGACATTCACTTTGTATGTGGGATTGTTTGAGCAGCTGATCAGCAGCATCTCCACCTTAAGCACTGAAGGTTGCCATTGTTTTCTCTGAAAGACTTGTAAGACTGGACACTTAACAGAATAAAAGTTTTAATTTTTAATTTGCATTTTCCTTTTATGTCTGCTTTCTTCTACGTTTTCTGTATGCAAAGGCACTTAGCCTTTCATGATCTCGCTTTTCAGAAGACAGATGTTAATAATTCCAACTATTGTGTAGGATTATTGGTTTTTTTACTAATCACATGAGTCCTTGTGGATTATGACATTCCTTTATGAATAAGCAAAGAATAGATGTATGGCGAAAGAGGCCCTGCTCAGTGACAAGCCTGGACTGCCTTATGTATTTCACCATCACTTTAACAAATGGCTGAAACAGTTTATGTTGCCAAATACAAGACTGTTGGGAGTATTGTCTACATAGACCTATAGAAACTCAGGTTTTCAAAATGTATATTGTGCTCTCCTTCCCTAGGAAAGGGATAGGGACTGAAGTCAATGGAGAAAACTGCCTGTTGCCATAGAAATAGTGTCTTCAGCCAACTACTGGTAACAAATTATTTGTGTTTCCTAGCTGTCTGCTTACCCCATGTACTACTTTTTCAACTGAAATTGCTGGCAGATAGCATCTTTCCTAATTGAGCATGTTCATGATGTGTTACAGAGAATCAGCCTGTAACTTTCAAAGACAGTTTGGGTTTCTGTGCAGCTCATTTATTGTATAGAAAGGTATTTCTCTTGCGTTTTGCCTTCCCTTGCTTCCTTTGTCCAGGACTAGCTGACCATGGTGACATTGGCTCCATCTCAGTGACAGAATGTGAGCAGGCTGTGAAACAGGTGAGAGGAGGTAGTGCTGCTTATTGGCACTGATGAGTTTTAATGAAATGCTGAACCAAGAAAGGACAGGACAAAATACCCCTTGTCCTCTAAGGCTCACCTGGACTGCAGCTCCTTTTGGCAAGGATTTACCAGCTCTTTGAATAGCTGAGCAAAAGGAAAGAATGAAAGGTACCATCAAAGAAAACTGGTGCTTGCTGGACTCCTGCAGGACTTTAACACAGTGATGGGTAAAGAACTGATCTGTCTTTGTTGGAAAAAGATTTTTAATCCTGGTAATTCCAGATTTTCTACATAGTTCACTGAAGAGCATAGAATAAAGACGCAATAGAGGCAGCTGGAACTATGTTGGTTTTATTCCAGTAAAATCCTCTAGCCCTACTGCACCGTAAGCTTTTTACCTTGCTGATTTTTGAAGAAAGTAACCATCTTGTTTTTACCTGTTGATGACAATGAGAATTCTCTTGATGGAAAACTACTGCATTTCTGAGGCTTCTGATAACTTGAAAGAAAGGACTGCCAATACAGGGAAAACAAAAGTATTCAAGTATCTATGCCACTTTAAATACTAATATACTATTTAATACAATTTAAATACTCATTATGGTTACTGTTGTTCCTGTGCTCCTTGTTTCTCATTAAATATTCTGTCACTTGTTGCCAATCATATCGAAGACTTCAGGAGAGGTGATAAGAGGTCCAGCTGAAATTTTTGCTTACCTAATAACCCTGGCAGTTCTGACAGCAGCAATTTTGGCAAGAGTGCTGAGCTGCTTAAACTGGCTCTGGAGAACTGGCAAGCTGGCTTGACTCCAAATGGTTTCAATAGGAGCTCTTATTGAGGAGGAAACTAGGATAATCGTGGCAGTCAAAAAGGCATTTGAAACACTTGTGCTTTGTCTGCTGCAGGGTCGTCCACGTTCCAGATGTCACTCATTCCCATACCTTTTATACGGACATGGGATGGGCTTTGGCAGCCTCCAGTGGAGTTTGCCAGAAGTGCAGTTTTCTTGCAGAGCTGGCAGGAGAAAATGTTGTTTAGTAGTCTGCAAAAGAGCTCTCGGAGGGGGAGGAAGGGAAGGAAAAGGGGGTCATTTCCCAGTTTTGTCTGCTTTCTACCTTCCTTATTTAAACTTACTGGAA